TTAGACATGCACACAGCGATGCACTCCCCCGATGGGTACAGACATGTGATCACTTATATTAGGTCAAACATGTGGTTTAATTCATCATTTCCTTCTAAGCTAATTTAATGTCATGTTTTAAACCAAAACTGATTGTCTTTTCCTTTGTTTTTAATGGTACAAATTGGTGGTCCCGGTCCATCCTGATAACTGACAGGTTGTCCATGTGACCTGCAAAACTGTAGTGACTGTTGAAGTATTGCATTTAGTACCTTTGTTTAAGAAAAAATGCTATATAAATAAAGTGCTACATTATTACTACTGTAGAAAACACTTCTGTATCATCTATCTTATTTGTGGTGTTGCTTTGTATCTGTATTTTTATGCTCACACAGAAACTTCACACATACAATATGTATTGGCACAAACTCTTCCAGTGTTTATTTTCATTCTACGTGAGTGTTGACCTTTTTTTTAACATGTTAAATATTTAACAGAGAGAATTATAAATGAGTCTACTCGGTTTGTCCAGTTTGAAATATCTATGCAAATATTTATGCTGACTTCTAAAGTTTTGCATGCTTATTTATGGCTTTACTGCAGAACTCATGATTGCATCAGTCCAGTTCAAACTTTTATTGTCCCACTAGGGGAAATGTGATTAACAGCAGTGGACTAAAACACAACGGATAAAAAGACAATGTAACTGTTCATTAAAAATGTCACTGGAATGGTAGCAACAAGGTCTAAATGTTTTTCATGGTTTAAAGAAGAGGAAGAGCATTAATTAGACTGGGAAAACACAAAATATGTATCTGTTGCTCTTAGCCTGTACCTCCAACCAGAGGGGAGAGGAACAAATTCCTCCAAGAGAGGATGGTCAGAGCTGGTCAAGATTGACTTGATCCTGAAATCTCTATGTGGATTTGGACTGAACAGTTTGACTTTGTAAATGGTTATCAAAGTAGCTCAGGGTGGCTTTCAAGCTTCACTTGTGACACTATTAGCAAAATGACAGAGAAAGAAAAGAGAGATGTAAATTGAAGCTACTGTGAGTTTGTAGCCAGTTATGAAACAGAATGTAATTAATACTGAGGCCTCTTTGTGATCTCCAAAAGCAAACAAACCATCAGTGACAAGATTTATCATTTCTACATCTGTATTTTTAATGCCTGTAAACCCTGATGCAGGTTGGTGTCAGACGAAGTAAGTCGCGGCACACTACAGAACCAGCCTTTGTTGACATTCATCACAGTAAATATATTTCTCATGGAGTGATACGGATGACTGTTAAAAGACAGCAGGACTGTATTTTCCAAACACTACTGTCCCGTGTAGAGGACAAGATCAGTTTAGAGATGAGAAGTGACACGGCCTTTTCCAAAGACGACACCAAAATCAACAAAAAACAAAAGTTCATCACAGGAGCTTTAAGAGCTCATTGAGGGAAAAAGAACTAGCACCGCTTTAGGTTTATGGACAGTAGAGTATAGACACACACCTGAAGACTGTTTTAACTAGGGCACTGTGCTGTTTGAGCCTATACAAGCATACAGGTAGAATACACAGGGTTTAGGTGTTGTATTGGCCATGAGTACAAAGCCAGGTCTGCTTTGCTGCTGCTGCATCTAAGCCTCTTTTAAACCCAGAAAACCCCAGAATGCAAATGTTCTAGTACTGTGCTCAATACAATGGATGCATGTGGTATATAAATTATTTACCATAGGACCAACTCAAAGCTACTGGAAAAAACCATGTCCCAAAAGTGTAAGAAGATTTACAAGATGCACGCAGGTTGTTTCAGCCAGTGGGACTTGGAAGCTGGGACTTGCATCCGTTGCCACCACGAAACACGATAACATAGTTTTCAGATATTGAGCGTTGCTGTTAGAGGTGATTTCACTTCCCTTTGTGCCAGTCCGTTGCCAATCCTGTTTATTTTTTAACATTCACGACGTGACATTACCAGGAGGCCAGGCTGAAGGTTATGACACTTTTCCAACACATTGCTGAACTATGGCGTGAGAAAGACCCGGCTTACATCTAAGCCCCGTCAAAGGACGAGGTGTCATTGTGCTGTACCCACAGGGTGTGAGCAGATATGAGGGAGCTATAATTTAAGATGGCTTTTTAGTAAAACAGGCAGGTAAATGAAATATACTCTTCAGCCATATGATCTGCACAACTCAATCAGTTGAAAAGAAAATGTTGTTTTCTCAGTTTCTCACAGAAACATTATGGACATGTACTTTTTCTGCCATATTAAGATTTAGTTTTGGATAGTTCTCTTGAAAAATATCTTGTTTTTGTCTCTTTGCTCATCTTCCTTCTGGTTTGAATATAGTTCCATAGATATGTGACATGTACCAATCAGGGATTTTAAACCAGAATCTGATGATGATGGGCTGTTTAGCGTTAAGTCGTTAAAATTATCACTATAATCTCTGTTATTTAAATGACTGTGCAGTGTTCAGCATCCAAAAGTACCAAAGCTTTAAAAAATAAAAATAAATAACTAAAGCTCTTCAGTAGAGCACGACCGATTTATCGGCTAGCTGATAAGAGCAGCCGATATTAACTTATCCTGTGACTATCGGCTATTTCATCCCAGATATGTGTTGATATTACTAGATTTATTGACCAGTTAAATAGCCTTTAATGTGAGTTTCATAGAATTACATTAGCGGTTCTCTTTCAGCAGCAGAGTGTGCTAAATGGATTACAACAAGCATCATCACTCTCAAGGGAAACATGATGCACGTACATGCACGGTTACTTTCCAGTTGAGTGACCATCTTGTCTTTGTTATACTGTATATTCTTTTCCACAAGTGTTCGATAACAGCATTTGATGTATATCTATCATCTCTACAGATTTCATAAATCTAATTGAGATATCGGCCGATCTGTATCTGATTTTTTTCTCCCCAATGGCGTTATCGGCCCCAAAAATCCAGAACAGGCCCTGATCTTCAGTCATATTCTTTACCAAATGTGCAGCACGTGGACGAAAGAGCACTGTCAAAATTGCAAAAATAAGTTGTCAATGTTTTAGTACCCCAAAAATGCCCAATGTCTGAGCTTCAGACAGTGAGCAGTAGTCTCCCTTCATATTTTGGAAATTAAAAGCAAGAAATTACCCAACATTGGGTGCTTAGGACTGCTGTTTTTGTTGCCATGGTATCAAACCCAGTAACCACATCATTTGATTTTTTACTAGAATTGTATCCAAGTTTCAAAACCTGAGATCATGACAACCTTAGTTTAGAGGGCTTTAATGAGATCAAACCACACCGACACAGTCATGGTGAAGCAGATTAGCATTCCCTTATTAATGAACAACATATTGTTCTTTACATTACTTGTTCATATACGTTCATTAGTTTATCTAAGTTTAGTTTATTGTTAAGTATGTCAGGGACCATGTCAGAAATAAACATTACTCTCAATTAATGAGAGGAGATGCATTGATTTAGCCGATGAGCTAGATCCCATCTGCAGTTAACACCTTCATCAACCCCAACAAGGAGCATACCCACGCACGTACACACAAGAATTGTCTCAGCATGACAGCATGGAAAAATAAGCCTGTTCAATTCAAAATCAATCTCTGGATTTGACATGTGTTGCTACCCTACTGAAGGAAAGAAGCTAAATCAGTATAATCCTCAGTAGAGCAGGAGCTGTAATGTCAGAGGTCATTCTGTTGTACAACTCTTAATGTGTCTGGTTATTTTATTTTATTTTATCAAAGTGCACAAGACCTACACCCAACCTCCTTTGATTGTCTTTATCTTAAGTGTCAAAGTGAATTCAAAGAGAACAACACAATCTAGGTGTGTGTTCACCATAATCGCCCCACCTTCTTATTCTCTATGTTATAGACAGCTTATGGTTCATCTACTTTATCACACTGGAAGGACCATAAGGACCTGCATTCACATTAAAATGTTAGGGAGCAAGTCATCTCACCTCATCGTGTCCATTTACAACAAACAGACTTATGTCACACAACCTGACCCGGAAAAGAGAGGGAGAGAATCACCTTGTACCCTTTCATCTACTCTACCCTACACAGGACTCCGACCACTGTTGTCTCTTAGCAACACCTCCAGGCAAATCGATGGAGGGGAAAAGAGAGCCGCGGAGGGATGAATTAGATGGCTGAGAGGACAAAAGGGGAGGTAAGTGGAGAGAAGGGCAGATGGGTGTCAAGAGGGTAAAGAAACAGAAGAAGACGGAGGAAGTGAGGTGAAGATTTGGTGATGGAGGACAGGGGATAACTTTAAAAGAAAAAAGCAACAAAAAAAAGCACATGCAGACAGGGGAGGGAGAGTGATTTGGGAAGACATGAGAAAGAAGAAATCGAGGATGTAGAAAGAGGCGTAGGAGGGGGGAAGTAGGAAAGAAACTAGGGAAGGACACTTAAATGTCAAGCTCTTGCCAAGTCACTGCATTTAATGTCATTTGGGAGGAAAATGTCAAAACGATAAAAGAGACAACATTTTGAGCAACAGTGAGGGAAAGTGACATGTTTTCTGCACACTGGCTGCATTTCTAGGAAAATGCTTTTAGGAGTTTGGCTGTTAAATATGAATATGGTCCACCTGCCTTGTGTACCTCATTATGAAAAAGTGTCTTCAAAGTAGATGTAATTTTCACTAAAGGTTTTTTGTTTTGAGAAAAGTACCAGATTCACTGACAAACAAGGCTTGGGTGAGTAAAGTGCCCACAGTTTGCTTTGTGCTTGTCGACTGATGCCTACGGGGAAAGACGCAAAAAGGGGGGGGGACATTGTGAGGCAGGTCACCGACTACAAAGCATCTCGAGCCGGGCAGAGAGAAGGGGGGGTGGGGGTGCCAAGAGCCCACTATATGGCCTCCAGTAGCACATACTGGAGGAGACTGATACCTGCCTCTTCATCCTTACCCATACTAAAACAAGCACTGTTTCACACAGCTGGAATTGTACGCCCTGTGCAGAGGCACGTTGCCTGCAGAAACACATTTTTCTAGTGCTCACCTTGCTGTGCCTGTTGTGTTTGAGGTTGAAATCCCAAAGCAGCGCTGGTCTCAACAGCCGGTCATTTTCAGCCTCGCTCGCTCCTGTAGCTGTGCCTCCTCTCTCGTGGCTTGCGGTCACGTTGCCTGAATCTAAGTGTGTGGTGTTTCCTTCACCCCTCTCTAGATTTAAATTTAAAAAAGGACAAACGATCAACGGAATTGCATAGTAGGCTTCTCAGTTAATGGAAAAAGCACGTTCACATTACCTTGAGCGGTCTCTGCGTAGCAATGTGAAACCACCACCCGGGTACCAAATGATGAAGAGGATGAAAGCTGCTAACCCGCTCGATGAATAAAAATGAGTGTGATGAGGCGGAGTCCAGTAAGAGAAGAAGACCGTGGACTGTTCTCCTCTGAGACGAGGCAGGACAAGCAGGAGGCGGCGTCGGTTGGTGGCTTTCCAGGGAGGGATGGTCCTCGCAGACCACCGTAGCGCCACTGTCACGCTAAATAAAGTAAAACTACAACATCCGGTTGTATCTTTCCGGAATTTATAAACGTGTGTTTTTGAGGACGTAAACATGTTTAACTATACATCTCAAGGGAGAATGTCGTCAAAAAATAACAATTAATCCAATAACATTTTTGTAGTGTTTATTTTTTAAATAGGCCTATTTTTGCTGTGGTTGTACCTTTCTATTTATTTTCTTTGTTTAAGCAGTGAGCTCTCAGAATAGACAGATCGATATCTCAGCTTTAGATAAATAAATATGTTTACAATAATACGCATAGCTGCATTAAAGCTTATAAAAAGCCAATTACACGGAGCTGGATTTATGTTTAAATTAACATCTACTAACTGATACTGAATGACCCCCCTACCCCCTATCTTATTGTTTGTTTTTTAATTTTTATTTAAAAAAAATTAAATTAAATGAATTTCTGCATCAGGATTGCAAACTTCATTCATAAGTAATTATTCAATTTTGTTTTTCAATTGCTCTCTTTGTACTTGCACTAGAATAAACATGACTGAATGCTAAAATGGTTATCTATTTTGATGATGGTGCAAATATTTAAATATATAGGCCTAGATAACAGAAATATCTGATAAAATACTCAACTGTGTGTGTGTGTGTGTGTGTGTGTGTGTGTGTGTGTGTGTGTGTGTGTGTGTGTGTGTGTGTGTGTGTGTGTGTGTGTGTGTGTCGGGTTACTTGGTCAATGCAATAAATAAAACATGTGTATCATGCCCTGGTGTGGTCCCTTGACCAAAAATTACCTTATTTGTACGTCACTTTGGATAAAAGCGTCTGCTAAGTGAATTGTAGAATAGGATTGTAGAATTGTATGGCACTTACAATGGCATACAATTGAAATATAGTACAAAGTGTTAAACATATAATAGAAAAAGCAACAATATTATTAAAAAAACAAAGAGGAAGCTATCCAATCAATAGGCCTATAGCATGTAACATTTTTCGGTATTGTAAGAAATCCATAATTTACATCCTACCCATCACTTTTACACTAGGTTAAACTGAGGTAAGGACCATTAATATGGAGGTCTTTAACAACACCTGCTGGATATTCGTCGTTACTACAGCATGTCGCAGATTTATGTCAGGCACTTTTTTGAACACCTAACGTGGCGACGATTTTGGACAAAGGACCCTGAAACGGCGGCTCATCGTTGGCTCCCCGGCGAAAAGGAATATTATTTGTTTGTCTGAGACTTTATCCACCTGAAATCTGAATCATCCTGATTAATACTCAGGTAAATATTGTATAATATCAATCGGCATCTTTTCGTTTATAAAATGAGTATGAAATGCGTGATAATTGTGCTCGGCTTTACGTAACAAAGCGAGATATCCGTAGATAGCGCCAAGTCGTAAGTGGCGCTTCTAATGAATGGGCTACAAGTTGAGAGATTAGCTATTTAGCCAAACTCTGGAAAGTGAAGCACTTCACTTCAGTTTTAAAGACATAAGCCGAGAAACGCTGTGCAACATTGTCTTGCGTTTTAGTAGCCAAGTTAGTAGAAAAAAACATATATCTGGACTTGGTCAACGTAAAATACGTCTTTTAATTGCTAAGCTAACGTTAGCATTGCTCCTTGGTTATGTTTCTCAACACAACACAGCCCATGTTCTGAGTAACGATAATTTACTTCTACTATTACTACTTATATTGAGTGGCATTACGTCTAAAGAGTTTATACGTTTTGTAGAGTTACTATCTTACCACAGTGCAAAGTGACTTTCTCAACAGTATAAGCACAGTTCAGTTCGAATATCCTGTAAACAATTGTCACGGAAAACATTAAACAACTAGTCGTAGGAAGAACATGTATTAAGCCATTTAAAAAAAAAAAAAAAAAGAATCCATATATTACCCCTTGTTTGTTCATTGCAGGTCTTGGGCTCAGTGCTCCGCTCGCAGCCCCTGGAGAAAACCGTTTGGGGAAGCCAAAGAAGGAGCCATGTTTCTGTACAACATCACCTTACAGCGTGCCACGGGCATCACACATGCCATCCATGGAAACTTCTCAGGTGATCACTGCATCCTCTTTTTCCTGGTATGGTTTCTTTGAACCAGAGTAGGGCTTTCCGTCTAACTTAATCAACTACCAAGGTGCATGAAGACTGAATGATTTGCAGAGGTCAAAATGCTCCTGCAACATTTGTAGTAAGAAGAACTATATTAGTTTATTTTTATTATATTCCTTGGAGCCTTTAATGTCTTTGAATGTGTCTATTTATCAAAAAGTAGTAATTGACCTAAAAATTGAATGTAACCGTTTTTCACCAGTGTTTCCCCTAGGTTTACAGCGTTGGGAGGGTGGGGGGACACGACGACACAAACACTTGAAGGAATCTTGGTGTTCATGTGTTACTTTTAATGACAGCTGTCCTTTTCTATCAGAAAGGCATCCTTAAATGACTTCTTTCCCTGATTTCCAACTCTATCCACTATCCTATCTCTTCAATAAAAGCACAAAAAGCCCTAAAATAAATCTTAACAAAAAAAAACAAATATATATTTTTTTTTAACTTGACCTTCAAGGGGGGGGCGCCATTAGTTCTTACAGTTGATGTTTAAAACTCGACATGCTGAAAAGTAGGGTTATGAGGATACTCTCAGTTCGGGAGATGAAACACAACACTGGTATTTTAAACACTACTTTTAAGAAAACTTTGATTAAAACATATACGACTGGAAATAAAGTATTTATTTGATTTGAAGTTACAAAATGCCAAACAATGGAGCTCCATTTGAAAAAGTTAATCTGTAATGAATGTTACTGCTCATAAAGTCTCTGGGTGTTGCTTTAAGGAAACATAATTGTAATGCAGATATGATGAGTTTTTCATGTCTCTTCTCTGACAATCACTGGAGAAAGATTGAACATTTCTGATCTCAGCATACAAGTTTAATCTTCCGCCGGGGGAAATGGCTGCAACACAAATGGTTTGAAAGCGGCTGGGGGCATCTTCTGTGATAATTTCAAGTTAAACATCAGACTCAGTCGAGGTGGCTGCTGCTCTGTGTCTATGAAACACCTTGATGAGAAATAGCATCTCGTTTTGATATTGAGGATGCCATCACCATAATCAGAACTTGTGCCACAAAACCTCATCTCACCCATACTGAAAAGAGATGTTTGTGGGTTTTTTATAGGAACCAAGTTGCAGGAGATTGTTACTTCCAGGGGAAAGATCTTGGAATTGTTGCGGCCTGATGCCAATACAGGAAAGGTGCACACTCTGCTCACAATGGAGGTGTTTGGCATCGTTAGGTCCCTGATGGCTTTCAGACTCACTGGAGGAACCAAAGGTATGTACCGAAAGATGAATACACTTCAAAGGACATTTATATGCATAGTTAGCTCATGAAGTCTCTGGGTGATGCTTTGAGGAAACATGCTTGTAATGCAGATATGATGAGTTTGTCATGTCTCTTCTCTGACAATCACTGGAGAAAGATTGAACATTTCTGATCTCAGCATACAAGTTTAACTTTTTTATCCCCATTGGTCATCACCCTTTAGCACGAGTTGACTTTGATGTTTGACTTTGGTTCTGTGACCTAAATAAACTGATGCAATGCAAAGGGAAATCATTGTTGTGCTTCATGTGACACTATTTTTGTGTGTTTATGTTTTTTAGATTACATTGTTGTTGGAAGTGACAGCGGTCGTATCATCATCCTGGAATACCATCCATCAAAAAACATGTTTGAGAAGATCCATCAGGAAACCTTTGGGAAGAGTGGCTGCAGACGCATCGTCCCTGGCCAGTTCCTGGCTGTTGACCCAAAAGGCAGAGCTGTTATGATAGGTAAGAAAATTACTTTGTTTTGCTTTCCCGGTCAAGTTGATTTTCCCATTACAGAATCAGAAAGATCATGCCCTACCTTTTTATAGCATGCTACACAGCTCCTGGTACAGGTTCTTGTCATAACATGCATTGACAAATGCAACTCCTAACAGGAAGGTCTTCCTACATGCACTATCAAACCCCTGCAGATGATACAAAATGCAGCAGCACGACTGGTCTTCAACCTTCCTAAAAGAGTACATGTCACTCCGCTGTTCATCTCCTTACACTGGCTCCCAGTTACAGCTCGCATCAGATTTAAAACTCTGCTGCTCACTTACAAAACAGAGACAAAAATGTCTCCTCCTTACTTTAACTCTCTGATCCAGGACTACACTCCCTCCCGCCCACTACGCTCTGCCAATGAAAGGCTGCCAATCCAACCTTCACAACAGGGTCCTAAATCTGTAGCTGGACTTTTCTCCTCTCTGGTCCCCTGTTGACGGAACAAATTACCAAACTTCTTTCAATCTGCAGAGTCCCTTTCCAACTTAAAAAAAAAAAACATGAACACCTATGCCTATAATGATAGGAGTGGTACTGACAATGGCATGGATAATTTCTGTTGGGCATCAATATTGATTTTAAGAAAAGCTATATATATTTATTTTTGCATTATAATTTTTTTCTTTGGATTTCTCATTCAATTTGTTTTTTTATTTTTCTTGTTAGTACTGAATAAAGTAGCCACTGAGTGTCAAGACACGTGTCCAGCTGAATGTCTATTCTTCAAACAGTCTGTCATTACTGTTTTGTGTTTATTCAATTCAATATGTTTGTCTTTGAGCAGAGCCCTGAATATTTAAACTACATTAGTGTCAATCGTTTTGAGTACTTTTTTTCTGTCCCTTGTTTAGGAGCGATCGAGAAACAGAAGCTGGTTTATATTCTGAACAGAGATGCAGCTGCCAGACTGACCATCTCCTCTCCACTGGAAGCACATAAAGCCAACACGCTGGTCTACCATGTAGTAGGAGTCGATGTAGGCTTTGAAAACCCTATGTTCGCCTGCCTCGAGATGGACTATGAGGTATGGAGATGTTATCATGACTGTACGGTTACC